AAGGCCAGTGACTTTACTTGAGTTAACTCTTTAAACTTTCCTAATAACTTATTAAGGGGTTCATTAAGAGTTAATCAACGTAACAGGTTAAAACTTTAAGAGAGTATCACTATTTAAAGCAAAAGTTAAATTTCACTTACCAAACTGAGGGATTGAGTTTGAGATAGAGCCAAGAGATCATAGTATATACTAGGGGTACATATCTCATCATAGTAGTCAATACTATACATATCTAGATATTGATGCTATGATATGATACATATTTAGATACAGAAGTTTTACCAATGGTTTGTTACAAAGTTTGACAGTCATGTCTGTAATTTATCATGTATATTACTAACATTGTTTTATTTTAATTACTTCACACTTTACAGTACTTTTTCAAATTCTCAGGTTTGATCAACTAAATGGCAGCTTGCAAGAAAAATAAAATAAACAAAAAGTTAATATCTGTCTCTCTATCTTGTTATTGTTAATTTATGTTACTTTGCATGTAATGTTTTTGATAAAAGAAATGAAGACAACATTTAGTACTCAATACACTTTATTGAATCATTAATTTTTAGCAAAAATACTTTATTAGAAATTCTGATTTCTTCTGTACAAAAGACTTATGACGTTTACTGAAAGCTTGCCAAAATCGTGAAGATGCATAAATCATATCGTATCACAGCTTCACAATACGATACTCGTATCATACAGCTGTATTGCCACACCTTTAGTATGTATATATACCAAGTTTGATAATACTGTTCCTCTCAAGACACCAGTATTACCTATGTCAATGTTGGTCAATCCCACTGAGACATAGGGGAAGTTATAACCTTGAGATATCACCTGACTGACCAATGGAGAAACTGCTGTTGACTTTCATATACTAGATGTAGCTTTACATTTACTTCTCCCATAGGCAATCCAGAACTACACAGAATAATTCTATACATGAAAGCAAGAAAACAGAAAACACATGGCATGTTTGCATACCATACAAACAACACAAACTTATCCAAACTATAATATCCATATGTTGACCACTGTTATTATTCTAAATTTCAATCCCTATCTACATGATTTGCTTCATAACTTCTTTTTTAGTTTATCTCATTAGATTTTAATTCTCTATTTAATATTCTGACAATATGGTAATAATTGTTAAAGTCAAGACTGATTGTGATCATATGATAAGTTTTTCAGAAAAATGTAACTAAATAAGCAGTGTTTTTGATGTTTTTATGGTTATATTTAACAAACCAGTACATAAAAATATTTTTTTCATCTTTTTTTTGTTGAAGATGCTCTTTAACATGTTTAGGGTGCATATAATATTTTCAAAAATTAAAAAAAACTGTTATGCTCATCTGAGTAGGACTGTACATAGTTTAACACATTTTACAAGAGATTGTGTGAAATTTTTATAGTTTTGATTTCTGTGATGAGAAACTTGGAAACTTCAGTGTTTGAATTTGATTTATTGTTCTAGAATCTTGAAAAAAAAGTTTTTCTCTTGGTCTTGTGCTTTGAGGGAAGAAGTGTGTGTTTTGATAGAGAATATAAAAAACCAGGGAGAAGTGAGCTGTTATTGGCAGAGCATAAGAAAAGTTAAATGTCTGGTCTAAGATTATAAATAAGTAATACCTTTTTACCACAAAGAGCTAGCAATTTTTCAAGCTATAGTGGTGGTACTCCTTGAACATAAAAACCTAATAATTTAAATAATTCTAACCAAGTGTTTTCCTTTCCTTGTTAAATATCAATCTAGAAGTAAGAGATAAGACCCATATGAACAGAACAGTGTGCTACTATTTACAAAGTTCAAAGTCACTTGTGCTATCTCATAAAGTCACAACAGCTCATCAACCCTTCACTTTGTAATATACTATTAGGGAATTGCAATAAAAAGAGCAACAAAATATAAATAAATTAACCAAAAGTACTATCAGTAACCTTCACTCAGTAGCAGATCCACAGGAAATGGGGTCCATAATATCTAGAAATTTCTTTTCCAATATAAAAAAGAATCACAGGAAACATTACATAGAATTAAACAGAAAAGTAGAGATGCAAGTAGAAAGATTATATGGATAAGCCTATAGACTATACTTGTACATTGTAAAACTCTGAATAAGTTTACTTATAGAAGCATCATTAATGTCATAAATTAAACAAGTACATGCATGGTGACATTTGATGGATACTTATGATAAAAAATATGTAATAACTTTGAGTTTTTTTACAAAATGATTTGTTGTAAATAAATTAGCGGGGTGTGCTAAAGTCAAGGTCTGAGCTTATTAAATTTTTTCTTTACCATTGCTGTCCTTAGCACTGGTAAAAACCTCCCAAATGACTCTCTAGTTTTCATTATACCTCCTAAATTAAAGGCCCACATTCACAATGGTAGCAGAAAGAAATGGTAATTTGGATTTCTTTTGCTAATCTGCAGATGGGAGTGACTAACAAAAATCAGTGGAAAGTGTCAAGAAATAGCCCTAGAGGGATTCCAAATTTCAAAACGTTTTGAAGTTTTGAGAGGGGAACAAGTCCCTTTCTCAACTTCTCCTCCCATGGGGGTATTTCCAATATAAATATATTTGGATCTCCTCTGAAAAATCCTGGATCTATCCCTGTCAGTTATATGTGAAAAATTTTGATTTGCTTACTGATAATATACAACAGTTTTCTAGTTACTTAACTTTTTACATCATCAAAAAGTATTTCTTACAATCCCATATACAGACGTAGTTTATTTCTTTTGTTTTATACTTGTGTTTTTAACTTGGCATATTTTATTAAGTTTGATTGATAAAAGATATGTTTTAGATTAAATGCCATAAAAATCTGGTTTAGAAATCATGTAACTATTACAGTCTTATAAAAAATTCTTAAATTTTCATAGCAAGTATAATAAGCAACCCAGGTTTATATTGATGTTTTTGGCTTTTGGAAATTTTTTTAAAAGAAATTAAGGCATTAAACACTAACCAGAAGTTTTATAATGTTATAGCAAAGAAGCAACTTTCAGTCTTAGTTACTTTTATGTGTTATATAAGGGTCCATATTGAAAAAGAACAGGCTTCTTTACATAGCATATAAACTGTCATTTTTGAATATTAGTGTTTTACTGAAAACACCTTTTATAGTCTAAGTAAATGTCTTTTATTTCCAGTTTTAACATGCAATATGTTTTCAAAAGACTAACTTTTTCTAGGTCTTAATTAATTTCAACAATTAGTTATTATTGTTTATGTATTTGTGAAATGTTTAACCTTCATTTTCATAATTATTTTATAAAATGATGTCAAAAGAATGAAAATAAACAACCCTAAAGTAGTTTTGTATACTGTTGCTCTATTAAATTTTTTCTACTTAACACTTAACTTATTTTCTAAAAAGATTTAGAATCTTCAAAAAAATTTTAAATGTTACTTTGAAGGTACACCAATTCTTGTATAAAATCCATGGAGAGAACTATAAGAAGACAATTGAAGAGAAAAAAAAAAGTCCTTGAATTGTGTTATTGGAAAAAAATTGTTTTAGTGATAAGGTGAAGGTCTACCTAGAAAAGTAATACAGAAAGAGCAATAACTGATTTTTAATGTACGGCATAGTACATTTTAAAAATAAAATTAGTAAACAAGTTTTTTATTCAAATATATGTCCATTGTGCCATGTACCTATAAATTACACAAAACATGGTTATTTAGACTAACTTTATTTCATTAGATAGATAACTGATTAATTGTTTTGTAGCTTCATAGCCCATTTTAAAAGCTGTGCCTTAAAATGGCACCTTAAGTTAAACGTTGCATTTTTCTGTAAAGCAGAAAAGTAATGCAAGAAAAGCATCTTTAAAAAGGGTCTATACAAGAAAAACACAGTTCATAAAAAATACCTAAAAACATTAATCAAGTTAGTGTAATTTAACATAATTTAAAGACAACATGGATAAATTTGTTCATGTGTGCAAAAAAACAATGTTACATCAAAATTAAAAATGAAAATCATATACATCTTATAGAAGTATTTTTAATAACATCATTTGACTCCTAAAAAACTGAGCATTATCTCAAAGAAATTTTACTGAATAAAATATAAGGTAGTACACAAAAAAAATGATGAACACATGATGGTGTTTATTTTTCATATACATTGATTGAATATATAAAAAAAAATAACTTTGAAAAATTTGAAATATTTATGAAATACAAGTTTTACTTAATGTCTATTTAATTCTGCAAATATAAGAATTTCAAAGTGAGCTACCATGTAGAAAGTATTAATTTATGAATTACATATACTTTTCTCTCACTCACAGGGCTTACTTCTCTAGGTTTGTCTGTGCGAGTCCTTTCACAATCTCTTGAACATATTATAATAAATTGGCCATGAACATGGCATACTATCAAAATAGTACATTAACATAATAATAAATTGTTTCATAGATTTACTCAAACATAAAATACTAAATTTATCAGTCAGCATGGTACAATTTTAACCTTTTAAACACATCCAAGAATTATTTTGTTACTGTAGTGTAAGAGAGTACACTATAGATGCTAGCATAGTCAGCAAAGTTGTTAAATGTTAAATTTCATTTACAAGTCAAAATGCCTCTAATAATTACTTTGTACATGATGCTTAACAGGTAGGCACAACTCTGAAAAAAGTATTGTTCACCTTAAGAAATGTCTTGAGATGCTCCTTTACACTCTTTTGGAGGTCAAAGACTTTGTTATGATTGTCTTGTGTTAAGAGACTGAAGACACTGAACAAATTCTAAATACGTCCATTGTTTTGTGCCTGTGACTTTAATCAGAATTAAACTTATGCTTAAAACTTAAATTACAACAACAGGTATAATTTGTTAACTAGTCTTTTTTTTTTTAATTAAAACAAATAAAAATTTCACATCAACTTTAGATGAAAAAAATTTTTGTTCACCAGTTAAAACATTGTTTTTGTTAATATAATATATAACTCTCAATAAATTGATATCTTACCAAACACAAAAACAATCTTTATTTTCTGACGTTCATTCTCTCCGGTCTCCAAGTCCAAATCCAATCCTTCATCATATTCATATTTCAACTTTCCGCTGATGTTTGTACCTGTATGTATACTGACTTCAGGTAAACATCTAGGTTCATAATCTTCTTTGTTCTTACGTTTCGTTATCACACACCCCATATTTAAAATCCATCTACACATAGTTCAATACCGCTGTAGAAGATATTCATATTTGTAAATCACAATCCCTAACGTTATTTCTTGACATCCCCATTATCAAGTATGCCAGACTAGGTTATTGAAATAGCTACGATTTTCCCACCTGGCGGGGAAAATATAATATTTGGTACAATTCACCTGCTTTAAATAATTCGTATTTGCATTAACTAATACATACTTTTTCATTGTTATAAAAAATACAATTAATATTAACAATAATAAAAAGATCGCCCTTAATCAACACTTTCAAAAATTTTAAGGTTCGAATTATCATGCTACATAAGTAAATTATTCTTAGAAACTATCTAGAATAATGACTACTTACGTGATTACAACACACACACATATATTTTCATTGTGCAAACAATTCGGGAATAACTAATAAGTGTGGACGAAAAGTGAGATTGTAGTTTATGAAACATACCAGGTAGTTAACAATTGTTATCGTCTGAATGCCTTTTGCTCTCGGTGCATGATTATAATTAACTCTATTCATGATGTCAGAAAAATATTGTTACGTCACTGATCGTTTGTTAATTTCCCGAGGAACTTCAGCGATACAAGTCCTTTCTTAAATAAAATTAGTTTATTCTTCCTCAAAACAACTTTGCAATACACAGAATTTCCACAGTCACTTTAACTTTAACACACACTATAATTCACAATGATTTACACACTTTACTTACGGCTTGACTCGATTATCCCCGTTATCAATTTATCTGCCGGCTTATATACTAAAAAAGAGGGCGTCTAGCAAACGCTAGGACGTTCGACAGTTTCCTCGATCTTTCAAGAACTACAGCGCATGTCACTTACATGAAACCAATAGATAATTAACAATAACTTAATTAAATGTACATAATTTACAAACACAAAATTACAATTCAACAAAGTCTCTTAATTTTACGGGACATATCTTCTTCCGTACTAGTCTCCATCTCGTTGGCTTCTGCTTCACCTAAAGTTCATCTGCTCTATCAGGAAATGTCCTATTATAGGTAATAGTCACATCAGTGGAAGTAACTTCATCAAGGGCTTCACTGTTTCCATTCTCGAAACCGAGTAGAATTTCTTCTTCGACAGTGGCTTTTCCAGGTGACACGTCTTCAGCAGCCTTTTGGCATGCACCACCTTTGATTTACCTCGCCGACCACATTTTATTCGGAACGTCACGTCTGAGAGACGATCCACTATGTCATATGGGCCTTCCCACGGAGAAGACAACTTAGGAGACTTCCCTTTGGTCTTCCTGGGATTATACAACCCCACCTTGTCTCCTGGTACAAAGCTGACTTCAGTAGATCTCTTATCATAAGATAACTTCATCGAATCAGCAGACGTTTTCAAGTTTGAACGCACTTGATGGTGAATATCATCCATCCTTTCCAATAACACTTTCACAAACTGTGACACATTCTCAGGCAACTCTTCATAAGGTGGGCATCCTTTATACTTGGGTCCCCTTTTAGCACTACATGTACTGCATGTTCTGCACCATTCTTCCACATCTCGTCTCATACCTATCCAGTAAAATCTTTGTCGTAGGTGACTCAATGTCTTCTTAATTCCGAGATGTCCTC